TGGGTGGTGCAGGCAAGTTCTGTGGCAACTCCAAGGAAAGCCACCTGCACACTCTAAGTGAAGGAGGGGAGGGGTGTGAGGGGTGGGTGTTGTCAGAAGCACACTGCTCCTCTCTGACCCCTGTTATCACCGAAAGTGACTTGGGTTCTGCAGGAGGCCCAGACCAGCTGCCAGGGGCCCCGCCCAGAAGGCAGAGACTTCTCTGAAGGACCTGTTTGCAGGCTGGACCTGGTCTTTGTGGGGCAGGGGGTTCACTGGGGAGGCATGCCAGTCCATGCAGGCCCAGAACCACTTCGCTGCAATTCTGGGAAGTCAGGCCCCCGCCTGCCCATCAGGAGCCCAGCGCAGGGCAGAGTCTGGAGACAAGCCTGCGCCTGCTGCAGGTCCCCAGCCAGGCCCCTCGCTCCCGGGGCTGGCCAGAGAGCTCACTCTGGAGGCAGCCAAGACAGGAGCTGATGACAGGAGCTGGTGACACCCTGTCCTGCAAGTTCCCAGCCCCAGAGCTTCTAGGTCTTTCTGGCTGGTGCTGCCCTCGGACACGGGTGGCCTGGACCACCCTCTAGGCCTCTCTTCCTGAGACTCCCAGCCCCAGCCCCAGGCAGCCTTGCAAACCACATTGCTGCCTCTCCATCCTGCCGCCTGATCCTGTGAGACACCACAGGCCTCCGGATCAGGGGTCAGAGGGCGAGGCACTGTTTCTAGGAGGGGAGCCCTGGTGTAAGAGCTCCCCTTGCAGAACCGCCTCCCCCTCCCACCCGCCCTTTCTCATCGACCCCACTCCGAGAACCTAGTACCAACTGCAGCCTCCGAGTGCTCTGGCTGCCCCTTCTCCGAGCCTACACCCGCCCATCACCACTTGGAAAATCTCTTCATTTCAGAGCCCGGGGCTGGCTTCCTGGCTGTTGAGTTCAAAAATGGTCATTCCAACATTCAACCTTAAATCTCCAACCACTACGGCTGCCAAAGCCATCTGTAAAAACAAAAACTAAAACTAAAACAAGGAAGAACGTGGCCAGGGGTGGCAGTTGAAAGAAAGGCCTGCAAGCCTGGGCTCCCTCGGTGTTCTCGGGGGCAGAGGCAGCCGCTCCACAGCCCCCCACCCCGCCCGGCAACCTCCCCCAACACACGGGGGGTAGGGTGGGGGGACCGAGCGGCAGCAACACACTCCAGCCTTCACACAGCAGCATTTCGCTGCGGGTCTCCGCCCCAGCTTCTGGGTGATGCTGACTGGCTTAATAATAACTCCCCTGGAGTGCAGAATAAACAGAAATAGCTTCACGAACTGCCATAGGCCAGTGCAGCAGTCTATGAAATCGAGAGGCGCTGATGCTCCCGGTCTCCCAAGTTTCCATTAGACAGAAGCCAAATGGCCCCTCGGTGGCAGAGAAGGCACCCCTGCCTCCCTCTCCCGGTCTCTCCGCAGACGGCTGGAGCGGGAGGCACAGGGGTCACTCAGCGACCGCGTGATGGGGAAGAGGTCGCTCCGGGGCCCCTGCCTGTGACCTCTGCCTGTCAAAGCCAACCTCTGAGCCCCTTTATAATCTTTTCCAAGATGTAAATGTGCAGGCACACAAAGCGCCCTTCATGGAAGGTCGCTCTGGCTTGTGTAAAAAGCTGTGTAAACTCCGTCTCTGCATTTACTCAGTCCGGCCTTGTTTCATTTCCTGCCCAGGGACATTCAGGGAACATGACCGCCCTCTTGGGGCTCTGAACATCTTTCGGAAAAGAAACAGTGCCTTCCCCACTTCGGAACCAAGCAACTCCCCCAGAAAAGAGCAAGATACCCGCTCTGACTTGACCAAATGCAAGGCGGTTTAATCCCATGCTCTTTGCCAAGTTTCCCTTTAAAAGAAGCAACTTAAGACCAGTGGACAAGCACAGGTGACAGAATCGGAGGCTCCCCTGCACCACGGCCTGGCTGTGTGACCTCGAGAGTGCCTCCACTTCTCAGGGCCCCAGCTTCCTCCGTGGCCTCCGTGGGAACAAGCCGGGGACAGCAGTGCCCCTCTCAGGCAGCTGCGAGGGGAGCGGTCATGGCAAACCACCTGCCTGAGTGGGTCTGCCCAGGTTCAAGTCCCAGCTCTACCATTCACAGGCTGCAAGACCTGGCCTGTGTTATGTCAGCAAAATTCAATGTGATGCTGGAGCAGCAGCTGCAAGGGAGAAACGGGCCACACCAGTCACTCCAGGTTCAGAGAGTCCCCCCGTCCCCAAACCCCAGCATGAGATACAGGGCAGGCCTCCCGCACCCCACCCTCTGCAGAGGACTCCTGAGGACCGCTGAGGCTCCAGACCCACTCCCTCCTGAGCGCTCACAGCATGTTTCCCAAGCAGGGCCTGACACCGCGCACCCGAACCCCATTTCACAGTCCCAGATTCCACTTCAGACCTCCCTGCTGAGCTGCCCCGCTTCCTGCCACTGCCTAGCGCCTCACCTGACCTCATGGGTGGAGTGCAGCGACAGTGGGGACAGCAGGGCCATGTGACTCCCTAGGCAGACACATGGGAGGTCCCCAGGAGGGAATTCCAGGCCAGACCCTCCCCCCACACAAGCCCCACAGTCAAGCCCTACTGGAACACAGGGGGTTAGGGGCAGCAGGGGCCTCACCTGGACACATCCCCTCCACCCACCCCCCATGCAGACCCTCCCATGGCTGACAGTGTTGGTCAGGAGGCCTGTTCTGGTTTCATGTCATGTCTCCTGGATTCCGTTGGCTGTGACGGGATCTAAAGGTTGGACCTAAAATAGGTCCAACCTTAAGAGAAGGGGACACAGGCCAGTCATCCAGGTGGCCCACTTCCAGGGCTGCTGTATCACCGCTCCATGGTGGCTGTCGTGGGCTACCAGGGATAAGCCTCGCCCACCTCGGAGCCAGCTTTCCCATCTGGGGAAGGAGGGGCTGGCCTGAGCAGCAGCCAGGCCTCGGGGCTCGAGGTCCGATGCCAGTGGAGCACCCTGGGCAGTCACTGGACCAAGGTGGGCAGAGCAGCCTTGCTGTGTCCTGCCAGGTCCTGCCGTTTCCCTACCCCATTCCCCACCTGCACACACAACACACAGCCCCTCCCAGTCCAGGGAGGTACCCGGGAGCCTGTCCACCAGACTATGAGGAAACCACCGGAGACGGCCTCTGGAGCTTGAGGGTACTTCACTCCGCCAACAGTCAGACACCCAGCAGGGTCAGGACACAGAACCACGACGCCAGTGCCAACGAAGAGCTCTCGGAGGTGTCTGTTCTGGGCCGAGCTGGGATTTGTGGGCATGAGCTGTGGCCAAAACTGGCCCTGCAGAGCTCGGCTGTTCACATCACGGTCACCGGGTGACCAAGGACAAGGTGGAGGGAGGGAGAGGGGAGTGACTGACTCATCTGTCCACCGCCTCCTCCAGCCAGGGCTCCCGAGCTCTCCCGTGCACGGCACCCCTGGATGGGGAAGGAAGACAGTTGTGAACTTGGCTGACCCTGCAGGCAGCAGGGCTGGGACAGGGTGGGGGTGAGGGTGGTGCCCAGGGTGCCACATGGAGGTGGCACACTTGCTCCCCACTGCACTTGCAGGACCTGGAAGGCAAGCACCTCCTTCTGTGTCATGCCCTCGGCTTCTCACCTGCCTCCCCTGAGTCCAGCCCTGCCAGACAGGGGCAGTCCAGGGCGGCCATATTTCTAGGGAAGTGCGGGCGCTGCCGTGGCCAGGGCACTGGTTCCTAATCTACCATTCTAGTTTGCCGGGACTGGAAGGTTTCTCAGAGGAAGTGAGGAGTTTGGACTCCTAGGAAAAGAGACCGCCCTTCTTTCTTCCTCTCTCAGTCCTGCTAACTGCTCCCCTCTGTGCTGCCCACCAAGCCCTTGCCAGGGCTGCTGAGGCAGGTGGGGCACTGCCAGCCTCCCTGTTCCTCTTACCCCTGTGCCAGAACTGGTCAGGCCAGGGGTCTGAGTGAGTGAGCTCATGATGGGGGAGGAGAGCACATGTACCCTCAAGCCACAGCTAGAGAGCCGTGGGGGCCCGCCAACCAGTCCCAGCTTGCCTGCGAGTGCCCCGGGGCTTCCCTCCAGGCCACACGCCCTCCTGAGACCCAGCAGCCAGTGGGGCTCCGGGCAGACCAGGCTTGGCCGGGACGCGAATGTCTCGAAGAACGAAAGCAGGTGCCCATGCCTGGCTGAACCTTGTCTCCGAGTCGGTTGGCTGCCCACAACTGTCTCTGGCGTCTCTGCTAAGTCTGTCCGCATTTCTGTCCGTCAGTCTGTGACCCTGAGTTTTTCCTTCCTCCTTCCCTCTGTGGGTCCCTCTGTCTGTGAGTGCTGTGAAGTTGGGCTGGGCGGTCACAGCCCTGTCCTCGCTCGCGCTCATTGGTTCCCAGCCGCTCCCAGGGGACAGCCCCTGCCAGTTCCACCCCCCACCCCCCAACCAGGGTTTGCTCCAAGCCGCTTCTGCGCTCAGTCTCCTGCTCAAGACGGCAGCTCAGCGCCCGCGGGAGCGGGCGGGCTTGCCACACACCGGGCGTCTGGGCAGGAGCGCTAGTCTGCAGCACCGCTCCGAGACGCGGTGGCGCCAAAGACGCGGACTCCTTGCCTTCACCACGGTGCCCTGGGCATCCCGAGGGTGCCGAGCAGCGACCGGAGCTGCGGTCCTGCTCACCAGGCACCTCTCGCCGCTGCTGCAGCCCACAGGAGCCCCGGAATGCGGAGCTCATCGGAGCTGGAGGTCTGAGTCCAGAGGGAGGCTGTAAAACCTCGAGACCGGGAGATTCGGTACTGCGGGTGGAGACGGAGAGACCCTGGGAAAGCCCGAGGGACGAGGGCACGGAGCCGTCCAGCTGGGGTGAGCCCCTGCCCTTAGTCCGCCGGGAGGCGAGCTCAGCAGGGGCGCCACGGCCCCGGCTCTGCGGCCCCAACGGCCCCAAAGGCACCGACTGCTGGTCAGTAGCGCGCAGCAGGGCAGGAAGGCGCGCCATGGAGGCGCCCGGTCCGCGCGAGGCGCAGTGAGCGGGTCACCCGGGGTCCCTTAAGCCATGTACGGCGACGTTTTCAACGCCACTGGTGGCCCCGAGGCGGCGGTAGGCGGCGCGCTGGCCTTGGCAGCTACGGTCAAGGCGGAGGGCGCTCTGCCGCTGGAGCTGGCCACCGCGCACGGTATGCGGGACGGAGCGGCCGCAAAGCCCGACCTGCCTACCTACCTGCTGCTCTTCTTCCTGCTGCTGCTCTCCGTGGCGCTCGTCATCCTCTTCATCGGCTGCCAGCTGCGCCACTCGGCCTTCGCTGCGCCGCCCCACGACCGCTCGCTGCGCGACACCCGCGCGCCCTGGAAGACGCGGCCGGTGTAACCTCCCAGAAAGCCAGGGCCGGCGGGCGTGGTGTCCCGGTTTCACCACGAACAGTAGGTGTGAGCCGGACGGGGAGGGCCTGACCTCAGAGGATTGCCAGCCCTTGGGCACCCTGCGCCCTGACCCAAAGGCCCTCCCCGACTTTGAGTGGCACCTGGGCGTAAAAGGAGTCAGAAGCGTCAGGGCTGCCCAGGGTCCCACTCCCAGTAGCCGCGGGGTACCAAGGTTCTAATCCCCTGTCACAGTCTTTCTTCCCCGGGACAGCGGGTCCAGCTGGACCTTCCTGAAAACAGAGCGCCGCGGAGACATAGGAGCCTTCCTCGCTGCCTGCTGATTTCCTCACTTTGTGCACGGAACAGGCCGGCACGGCGAGCGCGCGACTAGCCGGGATCTGCCTGTCAGACTCGTTGGCCCTGTGGCTGTATTCCCGCGGCTACCCCGCCTCCCCCACTCTTTGGCACCGAGGACCCCCTAGGACCCGAGCCTGAACTTAGCCACTTTCTGTAGAATGATAGCGCTAGGGGACAGCTTGCCCCAAGGGAAGTGAGGGGACGCGGAGTTTCACTGGGCCCCACCCCGGTCCAAGGACCCAGTTTTCTCTGCAGGCACAGGCGGAGGGGAGGCCTGTGTGGAGGCACGGGGGCCCACCGGCAGCACCCTATGGTGGGCATCCACGTCCCACATCTCCAGGAGCCGCATTTCAGCAATAAAACCTCACCGAATTAGACCCAGTGCTGACGTCGCTCTGCTCATTGGTTGCGCCACTTTGGAAAGTGGGATGAGGGCTTGGCATCGGAGCTGCCTGAGGGCCAGCCCAGTCCGCCTCCTGCCTCTCTGTGGCCCAGGGCAGTTTTCATGACACTCCCTCTTCTCCAGCTCTTCCCGCCGGTCAGACCGGTGCTTGCTCTGGAAAGTGTTTTTAGAGTCCATCTCAAAGAGGACTTGCTGCCTCCTCTGCTGAAAAAAATTCCCTGAATCGGGGTTCCATGGAGACCTTCCCTTCTCTTCCCTGCCCTTTCCCTCACTCTCAGCCTCCCTGGGCCTGAACCTTCCAAGAGCCATTTCTGGGCCAGAACCAGCTGGTGAAGGGTGGGCCCTCGGGTCAGAGGATGGGGGCAGCTGCTCCCCACTTCTCCCACACTAGGCAGGAGGTCAGCGCAGGAGAACACAGCCCAAAGCGACAGATGAGTAAACCTCGCCAGGAGGAGACTGCCTTAAAGAATGCGAGCGGGGAAAGAAATGCTTGCAATAACCCTGACCATTTTCAAAGTGAACCTAATTCTGGGGACACTTCTTTATAGACGTTTCAGATAGTTTCAGGAGTTACCGGGCTCAGGGGGGCACTAGAGTGAAAAGAATGTTTGGCTATAAAAATGACTTGGGAGATTACTGAATCCAGTGTTCTGAACCATTTGGGGGTCACTGGGGTGCTGAGAATCTGAAGAATGCTAGGGGCACCTGCCTCTGGCAGAATGCGCGGGCACACGATTCTGCAGACCTTTGGTGAGGGGCTGTCTGGCACGGTACCAGTCTAAGGACCCAGGCCGAGGCTGGGGAAAACGCGTGCTCGGGCTGGAGTCTCAGCCACGGCTCCTCACCACCACTTCCAGCCGGTGCCCAAGACCCTCCGGGCTCCTGTCCCAACAAACAGCAGAGAGGGGCAGAAGCATTTCCCCTGGGCTTAATTATCCATGTGCTGGAGAGCTGGCACCAGCCGAGCCGTAATGGTGCTCATTCTGTGATGACCTGACAGGACATGTTAGTTTTGTCTTTGGAAAGGTAGCCAGACCTCTCCAGCCTATAGTAAGGATTACCCTGCTAATGTGTGTGACCCTCGATTGCAGAGGCACTGAATGGAACAAATGTGAGGAGGCAGGAGGACCCTGGCTGGGAGAATGAGGTTGCACAGTGCTGATGTGGGGGGCGGTGAGGGGTAGGGGCAGAGTATTCCTCTTCCACGTCTCCCCATGGCCAGGCCTGCAGGCAGTGTGCAGAGTGCTCAGAAGCGCACGCTCTGGAGTCTCACTGTCTGACTTGGAACCCCAGCTTCGCTGCTCTTGGGCAGTATGACCCCCTACAAATTACTGAATCTGCCTTAACCTGTTTCCTCATCTGTGAAAGGAATATTATATCACCTAGTTCTACAACATAGTATTAAACAACACAGCCAATGTAACATGCTAGTACCCCACATGCTAAAGAGAGAAGCTGGTCCCCACATAGGATGTGGCCTCCCTGCCCACTGTGCCCACAAACAAATGCAAGGGGAAGAGAGGAGTGGGCGACAGGCTCAGAGGTCCCCTGGTGTTCCTGGGCCAGAACCTGTTAGTCAGAGTGACCCAGCAGGTGCCAGGGCCCCATAACACTGCGCTGGCCTCGAGCACGGAGGCCACAGCTCAAACATGCGGAGACAGAGACAGCCTGGAGAGCACTCCTCTGATGTCTCTGCAGGGTTGCTGTGGCCTCAGCCACCGAAACCAAAGGCTTGACCACTTCAGGCGAAGAGATGTTTCTGGAAGAAACTCCTAGGTAACTGGGCCTGCAGAATCGGAATCTAGAAACCAAGGGGGTCAGTGAGAGGAACTAGTCATCTGAGGTTCCACTTTCTGTCAGCACTGAGTGACCCTGAATAACCTCACTCCCTTTTCTGGGCCAGTCTTGGACTAGTGGGCGGAAGGGGGCCCTCTCTCATGTTGGGCCGAGCCCCAGATTCTCCCCTGGCAAGCAGGGATGTGGCTGCACTTGCGTCTGCCCCCTCCTGCTGAGTGGACCGCAACAGGCTAATCAGACACTAGATGGGTGTCAGGGAGGTGGGTCTCTACACACCTCCTCCTGCTGTCCCGTGATGCCTTGGAACCACCTTTGGAGAGCTGGGCATGGAGAGCTCACCTTTGGAGAGGGGGGAAGGCTGAAAACAGGAGAGGGCCCACGACATTGGGTCTGGGCTGTGATGCCCCTGGGAGCAGGGCAGAAGGGTGAGAGTCTATTTCTGATGGGCGGGGAGGGTCGGTGTGGAAGCGAGGGAAGGTGGTTGCAGATGCCAGGAAGCAGAGGAGGCAGCGTATTGTAGTGACCAAGAGCCTCAGTCCTGCAGTGAGGTAACCTGACCTTGGCCATCACTCTATGCCTCGATCATGTGGCTGCATGTGTGAGAGCCCCAGTCTCCTCATGTGTAAAATGGAGATAACAGAATACGCTTCATGGGATTTTCGGCATTGCATGAGGCGTTGCAGGTAGTGTTTAGCTCACGTTGGACAAGTGGCTAGTGCTCTGAATGTGAGCTACCATTCGTACTACCAGGGCGACCACTCCAGAAGTGTCCTCAGGGACACACACAGCAACTGCTGTCCCCACTGCAAGTGACTTGCAGACCTTTACAAAAGCCACACACTGTCACAGAACAGCCAGAAGGGCTGCTGCTTTGCGGCGGGTGTGCATGGAACAGAGTAGGCCAGCTGCCGTCCTGGGGCCTTTCTCACCACACTTTCCCTGAAACTAGCTTATCCCCTCACGTGGCTTCCAGAGCTTTTCGAAGGACTCTCCACACCTTGTCCAAGCCCATCCGACACCTCCATTTGGGCATCTCACAGGGAACCCCTGACTCAACACCTCTGGAACTCACCTTTCCTGGTAAATTAGGTCTCCCTCCCGTCTTCTCCATCTCAGCACACTGCATCCAGTCGTCCAAATAAACAACACATGGTGGTCATCCTTGACCCTAAACTCTCCCTCACCCTTCCCACATGCAATCCATCACCCCCAGACACCACTCTTCTCCACCCACGCCCTTCCATCTCCACCAGCACCACCCGGATTCAAAGCCCAGCGTCTACTTTGCCTGTCCCGGTATCTGCCTCCAGCCCTCATTTACATTCCAACGGCTCCTCCTTGCTCTCAGGAATTAAAACCAAGCCCTAATCTCGGCCTGCAAGCCGCAGCCTCCCCTGACCCCCAGCAACCTCTCCAGCCTCACACTCCCCTTGTAGTCGCAGCGGCCTCCCTCCCTCAGGTGTCTGTGCCTCAGCCATCAGTCTTCCGCCCTCCATCTGGCTAACGCCTTCTTACCCTTCCGTCTGACTTGGGTATCTCTTCCTCAAACAGGACTTGCCCCAGTTCTCAGATCAGTAGTCACTCAGAGCCCCCAACCAGCTCCCTTATTCTGGCTATTAAATAACTCTATCAAGTATAGCCTAATGTCCCCCGCCACCCACACTAACACCTAAGCTGCACAAGGGCAGGGGCAGCAACCATCTCATTCACCACTGCTTTCCCAATGTCTAGTGTCACATTAAACACAAAACAGGCAACATAGAAGCATGTGCTGAATGGAATCCAGTGGAAAGACAGAGCTAGAGGTCAAGGTGAATGTGCCGGTGGGTTCTTCCTCTGCACACTGCACCTGTTTTCTGCCTGAAGCGCAACTTGCATCAGATGAAACACAGAGCTGAGCCCCTGACTGACCGGTCCTCCAGGTGGCCAGTTTCCTGCAGGCGGGAACCCGCAGTTGTCAGCAACCGACACGTCTTGTCCCCATCTACGTGACACCTCAGTTATTGTCTTATCTCCCGCAGAGACGGAAAGAACACACAATTTAAAAGTTTGTCCCTTTAGCTGTTTCTGCTTGAATTACCCCTTTTCCTGCAGGGATGCTGGGATCTTAATAGTGTCTGCCATTCACATGCCTTTGGAATTGCCTTGGCGAAGAATCAGCCAGGTCGCTGCTTCACACGCAGACTTCCTTGCCCCTTCCTGGACTGAGATCAAAGGCTTCCTCCTCAGCCAGCCCTTCCCCGGCTTTTGATCTGAAACTTCAACTGCCTCCCCCCACACCCCGATACTTAAATCTTCCTTTCCTGTTTTTTCTCCTTAGAACACACCACTGCCCTAAACCGTATTTCACGTGGCTTGTTTTATGCCTCTATAACCAGAACGAAGCTCCTTGAGGGACAGAATTTTCGTTTTTTTCAGTGTATCCTCCACCCGACATCTAACAGGCTTCCACGTATTAACTGCACAAGTGAGCAAACAGCCCGAAACTGCTCAGGACCAGAGAAAGCAGACGTCTGGGGAAACGGCAGCAGAGCCTATCTCTGGTCTCCTTGACCCTCTGGTCCTGCTTCCTCTCCACACGCCAACCCTGACTGGGTGCTCCTGACTAGACAGGGACCAAAAACACTCAATGGTGTCATGGCTTCACTTTCCCCGAGGCCAGGAGGTGACTCTCTGCTGCGGCTCTGCTGCCCAGCATGCAGTTTGACTTGTAGAAACACTCAGTGAATGTTTGGTGAGATTATAAAGCAGCGAGTATCAGGTTACAGTCTGAACTGTTAAAACAAAGAACACTCCTCATCTCCAAGTTTCTTGCTCACGTAATCTTCCAAGAGTAACATGGCTCCGTCATCCTCCCCTCTGGCTTCCACATCTCCTTCAAGGTGGCTGCTCT